GGCGGAAGGGTTCAGGGGGAAACAAGTCTATCATTCACTGGCAATGCACAACAGTAAAAACAAGTGATATATGGCGCTATGACCTTGACGGTCTTGACATGAAAGAAAACGTAGATGGAAGCTCACTGGCATATTCAAGTACTTAATCATCCTTGCACGCGACAAGGACCACTGACCATCCATGTTGGTGGCTTTTGGCTTATCAAATTAATTTAGCCGATGGAACCAGATAGAGGCATTAGTCTTTTTACATAACTTATTACTATTTGCTGATGGATTATTGTTGAATTTCTTATCAACTCGCTTCACACCTTAACCAAACGCTTGAAATCCTCTCAAAAAGGAGAATGACACAAACTTCGAACTTTAGCTTTGAGCACCCGTCGGTCGTTCAAGAAGCGCAGTTGAGGGCCACACTGAGGCAGGGGAAGCTCCTTGATTCGCGGCCTTCTCCCTTCGCTATCCACGCTTTGTTCGGTTCCCACTCGAATCCCGTCTTGACGTTCAAAATGTGCCGCCCCAATACCTTTTGAACAGATAATCCTTGTTCCTTACTTTCACCACCCACTGCTGTCTATTGGAATGGCGGTCAATCCAATCCACTATCCTAGTCTGTTTAGCATGCCACGATTCGTAACACTATTTGTCTCGTTGTTGGTCACTCTGAGCTCAGGGACGGGTTATGTGAGCGTCCGACCCGACTATCTCATTGGGACAGCTCCTGATAAGTTTTCTAGGCCTTCTCAGGTAATGGTCGTACAATATTGGTTAGCATGGTTGTAACGCATCCAAATAGCTTATGCGCCTCAACTGAGCTCACGACTTCAAATCACGCACATGCAGCTGAACATTATCGGAGTAGCGAAGAATAGTAAGTTTTCGAATCGGCTACAAAGATTTGCATCTAACATCGAAAAGTCGGCGCATACAGTACTGCACCTGTTTTAGGGCGAATTATTGATCGGCGTGGCCCCCGCATCCTGCTGGCTTTAGCGTTCGTTATGCACCTCGGAGGATATTCTGGAATGAAATCTATCTTTGACTCGGGGGTGCCTGGCACATCATCCAGTATCTCGACCCTCACTTTCTGCACTCTCGTATTGTGCAGCTACATGACTGGAGTTGGCGGGAACGCGGCCCTGACGAGTGCCATCAACACTGTAGCGAAAACGTTTCCGGACAAAGCAGTGAGTAAACCGCTCATCTTACAAGTGGATACCTGCCTCAATCTATACAGCGTGCAACAGCGACTGGTCTTGTTATATCGGGTTTCGGCTTATCCGCGTTTCTGTTTTCCACCATCTTCAGTGTCAAGTTCGCAGGCGACCCGTCGGCCTTCCTTCGCTTCCTCTCTTTCGGTACCTCCATCCCAATGATAGTTGGTTTCTTTTTCGTCCGGCCGATACCGCTACCTCCATCTGAGAATACAGAGACAGGAAAGCGAGGATCGTGCATTCAGTCAATCTCAAACGATGAACATGATGCACTCCTAGCGATGCGAGACAATGTCCCCGTGTATGGAACTTCTCCAACTGATACTGCATGTAGTGCGCCTGTGCAGCTGTCTAGACGAGATGCCTTGATCCAAGGCCGCCCACCTAACGTATATGGACGTAAGCTATGGACGAGCAGTGACTTTTGGCTGCTTTTATCCATCTTTTCCATGTGTAGGTCTTGTTCACTATAATCACGAAGCAATTGTTGATGGTTTCCCTTCAGTGGCTGGAACAGGCTTGACATGTACGTTATCATTCCATCACCGCATCCGGTACAATATCCACTAAAATTTAGATATTGACAACGTCGGGTCAATGTCGCAAGCCCTCTATAGAAAGGCTGCAGACGTTTACAACCCCATCGATGCTGCGCGCTGGCAGGCCGAGCAGGTAGCTTGGATCAGCCTCCTCAACTTCTCCGGCCGCATATTCATCGGTATACACTCTGTCCCATAAACCATCAATACATGCTTACTTGCCTATCGCTAGGCCTCGTATCAGACTACACTAAGAACCACTTCGGTTTCCCTAGGTCATACTCGCTCGTCCTCGCGTCCTCGTTATCATTTCTCTCGCAGGTGATGGTAGCTTTAGTTGTGGACGATGTCAAGCACTTATGGATCGCGAGCGCAATGCTGGGCCTCGCTCACGGGAGCGTGTACTCGCTGTTCCCAAATGTGTGCCTCGACTGGTTTGGAATGCGTAAGTTTTTTCAGCAATGCAGCCTCGCGTGTACATAATTATATCTGATACCTTCCAGCTCACTTCTCGGAAAATTGGGGCTACCTCTTCGCATCGCCTATCGTACCAGGGAACTTGTTTGTAATGGCTTTCGGGCGCATTCTTGACGCACACGACAAGCCCCTCGTAAATTTGGCAACGTTGTCAACGAGTGTTGCGAAGACCTGCATGTTGGGGCGGGAGTGCTACGTCGACGCCCTGTACCTCACGATGAGTGCGTGCTTCCTGTCCTTGTTACTCAGTATATGGGCGGCATGGCGCGATCAAAACATGTGGCGGGGGGAGATGGAAAAACATTCAAGCTTTTAGACTACACAAATATTTACGTGACGAGCAGGTTCATTTGTGCCGCGAATCTTCGCGATGGCGTTGACCGGGATTTCTATACTGCAGCAAAGCTGAATTGATAACGATCCAGTAAAAAGAATCACAACGATAAAGGGGTGGCCTGATTACCCAAGACGAACACTCTTGATAACCTTCGATATACCAGATTTTTCTCCATCGTATCTTCCAGTCTCCTTGAGCCCACCCTTGAAGACGGCCTTTTGTGACGATAGCTTCTTCTTTGCCTTTTCGAATTTGAGGCGCTTCTTGACTCTCGGATTGCGAACACTTTTCGGGCGATGGGGAGTGAGACCCTTGTTCGCCATAATGGCACGTGTGAGCGAACGGGGGCCTGCGGCAGCATCCTCGTCGAAGTCGGGGCTGAAAAGAAATGTCAAATCCCATAGGACGTGAGATGATTAAAAAGAGGATTTACCGTGCGGCTTCCACCATCGCGTCGTATTCGGCTTGTTTCTGCTCCTTTTTGGCTTTTGATTTCAGCTTGACGAGTTCGTAATAACCATCAGGGCCTTCTGGAGGTTCGTCCTCGTCGTCATCGGTCCTCGTTTTCGCCGGTCGAGGTTCAGGTTCGATGTCATCCAAATCCTCGCCACCCTGGCCTCTCGCCTTGGTGTTTTCTCTAGTAAGGCGGGAATCCTTTTCCTTCTTCCGCTCGCGATAGGGAATGTCATCGTCACCTCCTACAGCCTGGTTTCTTGCGCCTTTGCGTCTCGCACTCGCGCTCTCGATCTTTGATGTATGGAAGCGCAGCGATTTTTTACGTGCAGACTTGTCAGCTGCATCTGCGTGTTGGAGGGAGGTGGCCTCGCCGTACGCATCGGCAACGTCAGAGGCATTGCGAGATGACGAGGGCTTGGATGGCGTGAATTCTGGCTCTACAAGATCGAAAACGGGGGTAGGGTTGGCTGCCTTCGACATCTTGCGCTTCTTCTTCGGCCGTTCAGGCGACTCGGGTACACCCTCTTTGGAGGAGGCGTCCTGGAGCAGCAACTCTAGCTCATCCTCGTCCATGCCCACATCCTCGTTGGTGTCCCACACCGTCTCGCCGTTTGCCATGATTTCATCCCATGTCAAGCTCTCATCATCATCTTCAGCCTCGTCCTCATCCTCATCGTTCTCTTCGTCATCCTCAGAATCAGAGGCATCGAAGTCAAGGTCTTCGAAGGTGGCGAGGGACTGCTTCAAAGTCAAGAGACGACGTAGGATGGGATGGACCTTGAGTAATTCTGGCCGCTGCGCAAACTTTTCGGAGCTTGCCAAATGAAAGTAAAACGCGAGGGTTGTGGTGTAAGTCAGCAAGGCTTCTATAAAAGGCATCGAGACGTGAACGATATAAGTTGAACATAGTGGACGTACGGTAGTATATGTGAATCATGCCAAGACTGAGTGCATCCGGATCCTCTGCTTCCATTCTGCAAACCAGGTCAGAGCCTGTAAGGAGCACATATCTACAACTTACCTTTGGATCCTCTCCTTAGTCTTCGCGAGACTTTCGATGGCCTCTTCCCAGTCGCGTGCTAGGGCCAAAGTTTCAGGACTGGTCTTTTCTAGATGCCGTAACACAAGTTTTTTATCGTGAGGAAGAGGTTGGACAATGACAGGCGTAGGTTCTGCGAGCCCACTGTAAATAGAGTTGTCAAGTTGCTGCCACAGAGCTAAATTAGGAATGCACGGACTCAGCTTCCTCTGCAAGTTCAGCGTCCGCCATGTCGGCCAATCCGAAGTCACTGTCATCCATATCCTCGCGCATCTTACTTTGTAGTCTCTTGGCCTCTTGTTCTTCCAGTTCGTTACCCTCTTCATCATCGGATTCGAGTTGCGCTGCGTTAGAAGAATACCAAGCAGCTTTACTCTTCCCCCACGTTTCTTCTTCGGATTCCGATCCCTCCTCTTCCTCAGAAAAGTCCACTTTCCCTTTTCCCTTCTTAGATTTAGCCTTCTTTTTCGCCTTCGTTGCCGGCAGACCGTCTAAATCTTCCTCCTCATCTGCATCTTCTTCGTCCATGTCCACATCGTCGTCGCCGTCTTTATCGTCATCCAGGCCTTGGAGAGCAAAAACCTCATCGTCGTCATCGTTTTCCTGCTGCCAGTTATTGTCACCATCCAAGAGTACCTTATCTCGCGACGCGCGAACTACGAAAAAAGTTGAGTATGTAGTCATTCGGTCAATTTGAGATCGTACAGAGGTCCTCTTCATCCATTGGTACATCGGAAGCTTTGTTCCATTTTGTGACTTTGGAGTCTGCGCGGTTTACGGGGCGCGGTTTTCCGCCATTTACGCGAGCTTTCGTCGATCGACGACGAGGCATGGAGGTTGCTGAAGAGTTTTCCAGATGGTTATGATGGCTTACCCAAATATAGACTTGTAAAAACAAGATGGTTACCCGTATCTATAGGTATTGATACGTAATTTACGGCCGCCTGGCGAAATGGCATCGCGTCTGACTACGATGTGCTGTTATCAGGAGATTGCAGGTTCGACCCCTGCGGTGGTCATTTT